CAGGTATCTGGTTTGTTTGCGTTCTATAATCGAAACAATGTATAACTCCAGCTCTGAGATCCCGGCCGGCTGAAAGCTGGTTTCTGGGGTTTTGTTTAGCTTCTATATTTGTTAGAATGTTTCAAACTGCCAGCTCAGAGGCCGGCAAGGCAGGCGGGGAACGTTGGAGTCCTCCTTCACTGAAGCAAGCAAACCTCATGTTCGCTTCCAGCTGCCTGGCTGCCGGCCACCATCTTGGCTGGCAGTTAATTTGCATATCGCCCTGATTAGCCAATGGGAAGGGTAGCAGTCGTACGCTAATTACCATGTTTCTCTTTTATTAGATAGGATTTCTTTATTGATTTCAGAGAGGAAAGGAGGAGAGATGGAAACATCAATGATGAGAGAATCATTGATCGGTTGTCTCCTGCATGCCCCCTACTGGGGATCGAGCCCGCAACCCAGGCCTGTGCCCTTGGCTGGAATCGAACCTGGGACCCCACAGTCTGCAGGCTGATGCTCTATCCGCTGAGCCAAGTCGCCTAGGGCCTGGAAAGGCATTTTGAGGATGCTTTTTCAAAATATATTTTTATCGATTGCAGAGAGGAAGGGAGGAGAGATGGAAACATCAATGATGAGAGAGAATCGTCTCCTGCACACCCCCCTACTGGGGATCACGCCCACAACCCAGGCATGTGCCCTGACTGGGAATTGAACTGTGACCTCCTGGTTCATAGGTTGACACTCAACCACTGAGCCACGCTGGCCGGCGAGAATGCTTTCATAAAGGAATATGTGATTTGTAGAGTCCAGCCCTTGCACGCATTTTACAGATGGAGAGCTGCAGGCGCAGTCCTGGATGGAAGCCTCAACAAGGGCGCGAAGCAGAGCGCCCGGTGGGGTTTCGTGCTTTGCGGACGTGACTGTGGCTGAAGACGACTGTGTCTGACTCGGCACCAAGCACAACCGTCACCGGCTGGACAGTGAGCACGTGCACCAACCAGCTGGGAACCTCCGCGGCGTCAGGACGCTTCCGGGGGGCTCTGTGCACCTGTCCGTGTTCTGGCTCCAATCCCCCCTTCCTCCCCCTCCCACCGCCCCCACCAGGTGCCGAGCACTCAGGCTGCACCCCAAGTCCTACGGTCTCACTTGCTATCGCAAGCACTCATTACGAGATCTGCCCATGCACAGATACGTGTCCGTATAGCGATATAAAGTCCAATTTCCAGCACTGGCTTCTGAGAGAAGAGCCACTCCCCGACTTCAGTATATAGATAAGTACATGCAGCAGAATGGGGGAACCCTGTCACTGAGGACTCTCTCAGGGGTCATCTCTGACCAAGGGGGTGGACACAGGTTTAAAATGAAAGTCTCTTTGACATGTTTTCTGTTTTATTTATCTGACCTTTCCTCTAAGCCCTGATCCTTGTGGTTCTTCTTACAAATTTAACTGCATTTTCAAGCTCTATCCCATCATCAGATATTTCCTTTAACCAAAACACCCCAAAACTTAGTGGCTTAAAATAACAATCATTTTATTATTATTATTTAATCCTCACCTGAGGATATTGTTCCATTGATTTTTAGAGAGAGAGTGGAAGAAGGGAGGAGAGACAGAGAGAGAGAGAAACATTGATGTGAGAGAGGCACATTGATTGGTTGCCTCCACACGCACCCCGACCAGGGCCAGGAACCTGCAACCGAGGAACGTGCCCTTGACTGGAATTGAACCCAGACCAACGCTCTACCACTGAGCCAAACTGGCGAGGGCCACAATCATTTTATTATCTCACTGGAAGCCCATTGAGTGAAGAGATTCGCGCAATAGGCCTTCCTTCCCCTGGCTGCCGGCACTGGTTTTCCTCCGGCACCCAGGACCCAGGCCTTTGGTCCGGCTGCAGCGAAGA